TCTTCTCATGTCCTCTCTTACTTTTCATATTTCTTTTTCATCCTCTTCTTTTTCCTCGTCTTCAACTGCGTCCTCTTTATCCTCCTTGTCTACTTCTTCTTCTCTGTTTTCTTTCTCTTCCTCTTCGTCGCGCATCTCCTTCTTCTCCGTCTTTTTTTCTTCTACATGTGCTTCCATTACTTTTAGCAAAATCCTTCACATTTCATGGGAAGGGCCAAGTAGACTTCTCAGGGCAACCCAGCCCCCCCCCCCTTCCGCCCATGACTTGAAATTTGGTATATTCGTTGTATGAAAATTGATCCTCCTTGGCGACCTCGGCCTTTTTGAAAAAGCTCCCAAGGAAAAAAAAATTGGAATGACAATTCATGGATTTTGGAAGAGTTTGCTCGTGTCAGAGACCATTTTCCACCCGCGTGAAGACGCAGCTTCAGGCGAGGAAACCCGCTCGGAGAGACTTGGGAAAATTCGCGAAGTTTGTCAACCGGGAGTCGTGCCTGTTGATGTGGGCACCACCAGTTCAAGCGCCGCCCACTTCATCTCCCTTTCATCTTTTCTCCATTTTTCAACCGCTCTGTGTGCCGCTGCTCGGCGGGGTGGTTTTTCCCGGAATTCCAGGCCAGACCGGTTTTCCATTTTTAATTAGATTAATATCAAAATATGAATTTTACTTCTTTGAATCCTAACAGTCCGCGTGGAATAGTTCTTTCTCGGCTTGCGAATTGTTTTCAGACTCGAGTCGTCCGAGTTTTTCGCAACCTCCTCTTCATTACGCATCTCTCTCGCCCCAGCTGCGTGATGGCACTGTCATTGTTCTTGGCTCTAATTTCAGCAGGCGGAAAATTCGTTTTTTTTTTTTTTTAAATAAATGGAGGGAGGCTGATTCGTCGCAGTCCAGTTTTTCCGTCACGCGCTAAGGAAGAACGCCGTATGAGCCTTCAGACGTTGTCATATTTCTATCAATAAAAACCGAATTTAATGACAACATTTTGAATATTTGTCTCCAATTTTTTCAGACGATTTTCTTTGCAACTTGACCTTAAATGCCTGATCATTTTGTATAAAATGAATAGATCCACTGAAAAGATTGCCAAGACTTAAAAGTTCTCCCGTCCTACCTTAAGTGTTAACGTTCATTGGAAAAAAAAAAAAAAAAAAACACATCGGATCTAGAGTCCATACTCTCGTAAACATCTACAAGAAAAAATACTCTTGATTCAATCAGATTTAAGCTTAAATCAAGAACCAAGCCTCTTAATTTGAGCGGATTTCCTTTTGATTTAAGCTTAAATCTAATTGAATCAAGGATCCTTTTTCTCGTCAATGTTTTCAAGAGTCTGGACTCATGATCCAATGTGTGTGTGTGTGTGTGTTTTTTTTTTTTTTTCAGTGTTTGATTCAATATATTAACCGGGTCACGTATCAACCTATTCCTCCCTCGTTATAAATGAATGACGATTGACAGGAAAACGATGGACCGAAGGGAATGATCATTGGCATACCGTGTACGCGCCAACGTAACCGCAAGACGGCTTTTTTGAAATACAATTCTCTCTCTATTCAGTTGTTTTCCTGGCTTTTCTGCAATTTTGCCCTTTAAAACTTGTTTGCGTGGCACATTAGTCATTTCTCGTAACTCGATGCTTCATTGAAACTGTCGCCCCGCATTTTCTCACATTCCCGTCGCAAAGTGGATCGAGTCAATCAAGGAGGTCGGACATGAACTTTTCGACTAAAACTGAAAATTTTGATGTTTAATTCGTCAAATTTTGAAGTTTAAGGGGTGCTTCAAGTCGAAAATTTCACGAGGAAATCAATGAAACCACTTTTAAAATCTCAAAATTTGGTCTGAATTGAGTTAAAAGCGTTTAAAGTCTTCAAATTTTGTCCGACCTATCCTATTGGTTCGATCCATTGTGCGTCGGAGCTTGCGCTACGGCTATTAAAGCGCCCTGAAAGGTTGCCCAGTTGGGTACGGACCGTATTCGATAGTGTTTCGATGTATCGTTCGGTTCAAAACAATACCACGTAACCTCAAACAAAAATTGTATGATTTGAGTCGGAAAAGCTCATGAAAATGTTCAACAATTACACTTTTCATTGGCATTTGGCACTCAAAAAAATGAATAATCTATCGCAGAAGACCCGCTCCCTCAGATTTCTAAATTGACTTTTGAGGCTATGTCTATGTTTTGAACTAATCGATATCGATACAATCTCATCCGTTTGATGTATTGAATGGGATCTATTTGAAAAAAAGTAGGTGGCGGCCGGTTCGAACTTGATCCGGTTTAGTAAGAGTGACAGCGTCTTGGAATGTTAAAAAACACCCGGAAAATTCAGGAAAATTTACAGAAGTCGTGGACTTTTAAGGTCAAGCCTTGTAGGTTTGTAGTCTCGTGAAACAAGTCCTAGGATATCTCCTTTTTCCTCTGGTGTTTCTTATAGTATACCGTGAAAAATGATTTTTTGTCGCTGAAGCATTTTTATGGTGTAGATTGTACACCGCATTGACACTCTTTATGCACCGGCATCCAACAGGGTTGTACCCGTCTGAGAAAACGTGGAAAAGTAAGGCAATTTTAAGTAACCTGAAAATTGACGGAAATGCCATATTGAGTCAAGATGTTTCAGAAAATTCAGGGAAGTTAGGGAAAGTTGGGAAATTTTCACATTTTTTCCTGATTCCGCACAATGAAAGTGATTCTATAGGGGGAGTTGGCAAACATCGAGGTATCGAACAAAAGCTAAAATACTGTTTTCACTTAAAATTTAGCAAGAAAATGAACTCATCTTGACTGCAACTGTTCACTTCCAAAGTATCTATTTCATAAAACCGAAATCAAAGCTGATAGCACAATCAAACAGTATAGCTTTACCTATATTCTTGCGTTTACGAAAACGAGTTTCCGGGGAGAGACCGCTGAAAGAGTCTTTAGGCACGATGGATCCGTTTTTTGTCAAATATTAAGTGGAACCAGTAATATACAGGGTGTCCAACATCAGGATTTTCCCGATTCTAGCAGGATTTGAGGTCAATCAGGATTAAATTTAATCCCGATTTCATCTGGATTTGTTTTTAATCCTTAGAACTCAATTCTAGAGTTTTGCTTTTGCCTACGCTTATACAGAAATTTTAGTTTTTCTCCGCAAAAAGACAGGATTTGATCAGGATTTGGAAAAATTATGAAGTTAGGATTTAGCAGTCAAAAATCAGGAAAAATCAGGATTTCCCAAAATAAAAAAAAACTAGACACCCTGATGTAGCACAATTTGTTCGGTCTCATTGTTTGTTAAGCTTTTAAGCTCTTGGAATATTTTGCTTAACGCAAGCTACCGAGGTGTCCCGCTCAAGAAGTTCACACCTCCCGTACACAACACTCGTTCCAGCGAGGAGCGGAGGAGGGAGGACGGGTCCATTTTTCACAGGCCTTTAAGAAAATTAAGTTTATGGGCGTCTTCCTCCGACCGTATCAAGGTTATATATAAGTTTTAAGCTTAATATATTACGTTTGAGGGTTCAATTCCGCGGCGCCCGGGCTCGGGCCCGAGGAAGAGGGATGAAAAGGACGAGTCGGCCAACCCTCCCCCCGCGCCGCCCTCGCCCCGCCGTCCGTCACCCGCTTCTCATTTTCTTCTCCCTCCCCCCGAGCCCCACTCGGCCCTCCTCCCTGAAATTATATCTTCCGCCCTCGCGCTAAAGTGTATATGTGCACTAATTGCACATTCTTCGCATAGTTGCTGTCTACTTTCCCGCCCTCCGCCCCCCTGCGGAAGCGTTTCCCGGCCCCCCCTCGCCCGCCGCCCCTCCGCGCTCGCTCCCCAACTTGGGTTTCCGTGCAGAAACTCCGGCAACTTATCTCGCTTTATTTTGCGCCCCTACCGCCCGGAGTTTTCCGGAGTTTCCGGCGCTCCTGTGTTTTGGGCGCGCGGCAAACGACGGATTTCTTGATTTTCCGCCCT